CTTGCCCTGATGGTGAACAAATGCTACAGGTGACATTTGTGATAACTGAACTAAGGGTACAGGTATTATCCTTGTTCCCTACAAAGTGCGAGCTCCCCATTCGCTGAAAACCAGTGCTTGTTCTGCTTCTGATACCCATAATCTTTGTTCAAACCACAGAACCTCCACTGTCGCAACTGTTTTAATGGTTGGTTGGCCAACACTAAGCAGGACTGCAGAACATGTATACAGTGTGCACATGGGCTGTGCTGTGGAGAACGATGGCAATTTACCTCTGCACTACTCAGCTGCTCATCTGTATGAATCAACTTGGCATTCAAAAGCATAACAGTGATCCTACTGTACTGTGCTAATTCTGTTTGTTAGAAGCACTGGTCTACAGAGAGGCAATTATGCATTTATTGTGGCTGTCCATGAAGTGGTTATCATATTCAAGCCCTATATGCTGCAGTCCCAATAGATGCTTATTCTGACGTAAATTAATAAACAGGAATCGATCATAACAGTTTGCTAGTTGATGCCCTAGCAGAAGTTGAAAGAAGCAAATAGAAAACAGAACATAAAGTGTTTTCACAAATACTTTCAAATACATCTGCATGAAGGATGAGGAAAGGCAACAGGCTTCTAGCAATGCAGACCTGTCCCTAAGCAAATCGAGTTAGTGTGGCATAATGAATGTGGGCTATGTTCCCAGAAATCATAGTGTAGCTGAAGTGCCTTTGTCATAAGGTTTAGTATCTATTTATCTTTACTAATGCAAACTGCAGGTGGTGCATTTAGACATGAGGAAACCAAAAAGGGATATAGGTGGTATTATTAACATGTGTTAAAGAGAAATGTCAGTATTCTTTATCACATGAAATAGTGTTTTTCCATCATAAGATGACCGATCTTGCCTCCTAAAACAGTGTCACCTAAAGGTGGTAGAATAACCCTTAATTAAAAAAAAAAATGAATTAAATGCTTCCAGTGCAAGAGCCCCCTAATTTATTTTTTTTTTGCTCTGTGATGTAGATACAACATTAATTAGTGAAATTTAGGTGGACTGGAAAGGAGTTTTGCTGAAGGCAAAAAAATTTCATTTCATAATGAAATTTCATTTCATAATTAAATTATACTGCATACCTGCTTTTATTTCTCTGATCATGTGTGCCTCAAAACTGAGCTAATTTGATTTCTTTCTTGCTGAAAATATATTTATTCCAGCTAAGTCAAAATCCAGTGTGCGTTCTAGACCCCAAAGGAATTGTTTGTTCTTAGAATCAGCTGTGTGGGATGTGCAGTGAGTCCAGACTCAGGCCTTTGGACAAATTGTTCAGCTGAAAGGGGAAGGGTAGCTTCCCTATATTACAAGATGTCGATTTTAATTTCTCTTTAAATAATATCTCAATTTAAATGGTATATGGTTCTCAGGTCAAGTCTTGATATGTTCAGTTTTAGCTATAAGGTTGTGTTATGTTTGGATCCTTAAGAGAAGGTGTGAGAAGTGTAATCTACCTCTCAGAAGAGCACTACTGCAATTACTGTGTCCTAATGAGCATGACAGTGCAAAGAGGCACTGACAGCATATATTTTAATAACATGTAGCCTTTGCACAAGATTTAAGCTCCAATATTTTGCAAAGACTAAGTGAATAATCTTCATGTCACCTATCTGGAAACATGTAGCCACACTTTTTTACTTTCATTTTGTAAAGCATTATACTGATTGTTAAGTAGCCTGAATTTCTTTTGGTTTCCAGAATAAGCCAAGGGCTTTTCTAGAACTATGCCTTTAAATGATTTAGCAGCTTTCATATACACTTAGCTAGTGTATACGAAAAGACATAGTCCCTTCCCCTTTGAGTTTTAAATCTGAGGTCCTCATCCAGCAACATTTCTCCGAGTATTATATTTTTAAGTGTGTGAGAGGTTCACATTAAACTTCCACTGGGAAATATTTACAGAAAGACCACACCTGCTGAGCTTCAGCCTTCTGGCAAGTGCACTATAGAGGCCTAATGGGAATTCATGGAGAAGAAAGGTTGCCTGCATTTAAAAAGGGTGGGAACTCTCCAAGCTCTGAAGCTATGTGCAAGTTTATATTTGGATAACCCAATAGCTATGCATATAAATCGTCAGGGAAAACTAATGTACATGTGCAGTATATCAAACATCTTGATGTCTCAGCCATGACTTTCATATGCACCAAAGTGCACATTCGTTGCTGAAGGTTGTATGCAATGAGACATTTAGAGTTTAAAGGGACATATTGTTTGAATGTATCTGAATGCAGAAACCAGTGACTCACTTCTTTAGTAACTGGGAAGCACTTTTTGTGTTCTGTCAAGGATTTCTAGAGGGATTTGTAATCAAGCAATCCTGAAACAGTACAAACTAGAATGTAATATTGAAATTTAGAAGAAATGAAATGGAAATGCTATCCCAGCCACGGCCTCAGTTTCTAATTTTTTTCCCCAGCCACATTTTTTTCATGGAACCTACTGTAATGTATTTTTAAGAAGCTATGTCATGTTTTATAAATGAAAAACACTATGAATGAAGTATATATCCTTTGTCTTGTTTATTAATTCCATACTACAACTTTAAATTTTACATTACTTCTTTCTTATTTTTTCTGAGTACAGACATTAATGTCTTCATACTGGCTTTGGCATGGTATGTGTTATTTATGTCCTAAAGTTCCAGTTGTCTTAGTGAGATTGGGTGCTCTACAGCTCTTGCCAGCCTTGCAGTGATTCTCAGTCCCCTTGCCCTTGAATCACCCCAGGCTCCTTAACAGGTCTATTATTTCATTTGGGGTTAAGGTACAGCATGTCTTATAGTTTTAGCTTCTCAGTCTTCTCCCTTGCTGTAGATGGTATCCATACCAATTTGTAGCATGATGAGCTTTCCCTGTATTTTCTAAAAATATGTTTGCTATGTCAAAATAACTTTTCTCAAATGGCAATACAGATTCCTGAGCACCATAGGTTTAATTCAAGATATAATTAAAAGACTGCGTGAAGTGAAGACTTTAAATCTGCTTTTATATTCAGCTTTTTTTTTTTTCACTCTTAACTGAACCACATACTGCAACAGCCTGCTCATTTCTAAAGAGCAGTGATAGCATCTCCTGCAGAGGCTGCTTCACTACAAACTCCTTTCCACAAGGTGCTGATTGCTCTGGCCCTCACTCATTGAAGTCCTTAGATACTTAGCTGCTGGACTAAGATCAGTGTCTAATACTTTTCAGGATACATATCTGTGCTCCAAGAAGGATCATTCATTCTTTGCTCCTGTCAGAGGATGGGTCCTAAATAAAGGAAATAATTTAGTCTTTGGTTATCTAGCAGGAGAGAGATTATCATGCTAGACTGGAGTACCTTGAAGTCAGCTCAATTTACAGTATCCCATCTGCTTTGCTCTATAATGGTGTTCAGATTATGATAAGATGTATATTTCTGCCTTAAAGTTAAATTAATAACAAAAATAAATAGATAGCAAAAAAAATCAACGTTTTAATTTTACTATTATTTCATCAAGCAATAATGAACTGGGAATTTGGCCAGTATATTAAAAACATAGCCAATAAATCCTACATTATTTTATAATTAAGCACACAGACATATATGCACTGCACAGAAAAACAGTGAAATAATTGATCCATGTATGTAATTACTAGTGTACCAATAAAACCAAAACATTTTCTTGGAAGATAGTACAACTCTGAGTTAGGACTTAAACAGTAACTTAATGGGTGTACTGAGAGAAGAACAGTGAACTATTTCAAATATGCTGGGGCATGTTCTTCAGGAAAGGAAAAATTTTTGATTATTTACACTAATACACCCCCCTTACATAGGCTTGCCTCACTTCAGCCAACTGAAGTAGAGGTCTAAAGCCTGAGCCATTTCAGGCAAGCTGCAAAGAGGAAGAGGGGTCTCTTACCTGTGTTGTCATCCTCTGGACTCAGGATCTCAAAGAGTTTTCTTAAGGATGACCATAAAACCGTGGCTTTCACTACAGCACCCATTGCATTGCTGTTGCTCTCAGGAGAACAAATTTATTCTCCACAGCCACACTATCTTGTAAACTGTTGTGAGAAGACAAACCTTTCTCATGCCCCAAGAGAGGGAGTGAACTGTACATCCTGTTGGTAACATATAGAAGTGATCTATTTCTGTAAGTACACACTTATTTAATACATATATACTTAAATAAGAAGGATCATAAAGACATGTGTAGTAGATTGTAGTCCCTAAAGCCATGGTTTGATGTGCAGTGGTGCCACCCCAAGTCACTCACTTCTGTAGCTGTAGGTGCTTGTGGAGGCAATACAGTAAAGCAGATCAGCAGCTCAATTTAATTAAATTTAACTGTTTTCCATGGTATTTTTGCTAACTCAAGTAATTATCCACACTCTGTATGACCTACGTAGAGCTATATACCAGTATGTAGAATTGATGCAAAAAGGCTGAGGGTTGGAATACCAACAATATCTTCACTTGGCAGTGGCACTACATGGTATACTTGTCCCTGAGGTACCAATGGAAACTCACAAATTTGTTTTCAGTGTAGATGGAAAACAAATATTAAAAAAGACCCTTTCTAGGTACACAAAAGAGCTTTGTAGTTCAGACTCTGAAATGGACTTGACCTTCTGCCAGAGAACTTGCCTGTGGACATGAGCAGTCTTGCAATTACTGGCTGTTCCATTTTGTCTGCAAATACATTGTTGTAGGGAATGTTGCAAAGATACGTTTCTTAAGTTTGTAAAATAGTTGCATGAGAAAAGCCAGACAGGCAAGAGGGGCTGGAATGAAAAGCAAAAACACTCAAAAAGGACTGAAGCTATTAAGGTATAACATGCTATGTTATATATATATTGTTTTGTTTCTTAGGAATGGACTTGCATGTATTTGCAAATACTATTTACTTACTATTCTGCAACGAGGGCACTTGTCTCTTAACTAATTTCACTCGAGTTTCAGCTTTCCTGTGACTTCTTACATTTCCCAGGTGCTGGAGAAGTGATTCCCCTGCAGCCCATTGTGAAGACCATGGTGAGGCAGGCTGTCCCCCTGCAGCCCACAGGGGTCCACAGTGGAGCAAATACCCACCATGGAGCAGATATCCCACAGGGGAACTCACAACAGAGCAGGGGAATACCTGAAGGAGGCTGTGACCCCTTGGGAAGCCCATGCTGGAACATGCTCCTAGCAGGACCTGTGGCCTCATGGAGAGAGGAACCCATGCTGGAGCAGGTTTGCTGACCCTGTAGGGGAACCATGCTGGGACAATCTGTCCCTGGAAGGGACCACACAGAAGCAGTTTGTGAAGAACTGCAGCCTCTGGGGAGAAGCCATGTTGGAGAAGTTCGTGAAGGACTGTCTCCTGTGGGAGTGAGACAGTCCACACTGGGCAGGGGAAGAGTGTGAGGAGTCCTGACCACAACCCCCACTGCCCATCCCCCTGCACTACTGGAGGTGAGGAGGTATAGAATTTGAGAGTAGAGGTGAGCCTGGGAAGATGGAGAAGTGGAAGGAAGGTGGTTTTTAGATTTGTTCCTATTTCTCATTATACTCCTCTGATTTGATTGGCAATAAATTAAATTCGTTTCCCTGGGCGGAACCTGTTTTTCCCATGACCAGTAATTGCTGAGTGGTCTCCCTTGTCCTTATCTTGACCCAGGAACCTTTAGTTTTATTTTCTCTCCCCTACCCAGGTGAGGATGGGAGTGATAGAAAGACATCTGTGGGCATCTGGTATCCAGCCAGATTCAACCCACCTCGGTCAGTAAGAAGACATTTGGTAAGTCCAATCTTTGGGCATGTGACAAGACAGCATTTGTAATGTTATCCAAAGAATCTGTAGTGATTTAAAATCCTATTGTAGTTTCTGTATCACTAGTTTCATTATTTGATTAAAGTCCAGCAGAGCATTAAGGATTACATTTGACTGAGCATGAATGATTTACAATTAGTTAGAAAAAATAAAGGTATTAAGGAATGTGCCAGGTTAATTTATTTGACAAATGAGTGCAAAGCTACTTACACAAACATTTCAAAACAGAGAAGCACCTGGTTCATAATGTATTTTGTAGAAGCAATGAAAAAAGTAATTATAGAGAATTGTAAAAACCTTGCCAGGAGGTATAGCTAAGATCACTAGGAATGCAGGGGCTGACTTCCACTGCACTTCACAGTTGTGCTGGGTCCTTCCATGACTGACCCACTGGGTGACAATCAGTAAGCTGAGGAATCCAGAGGTAGGGAAGATATAAGCTATACTTGGCAGTTAGGGCATGGTTTGGTATCCAGCCTGGGGTTTGTACGAGGGGATAATTGTAATTCATTTGTATTACAGTAGCTGCTAATGCCAAGCTTTTAGTATTTTTCCAGTTTAATGTCAATAATACTACAGTAATGTTGACATCTAGCTTTTTAAAACACTACCCGGTTTTAATTTGTTTATGTTGGTGACATTTGTTATTTTACAGTAGTATAGGAAACATCTAGTGGTAACTGATGTAAGCCACTTCCTGTCTGTTGTTACTTGATCATGATATAGCATTGTCAACAGGATCAACAGCATAATGTGCAGCATTGCAAATGTAAAAAAATAAACTTTTCCAAAAAGCCCAACTATGCAGATTTATGTCTGTGGGTATTGTCGGATTAGGTTGTCACATTCAAGTATTATAAAGCGTCCATATGTTCCATATCTATCACTTCACATAGATATTGTGTTCCACATATTTTTACAGTCCTAAGTATTTTAGTTAAACTTCTAAACTTTGAAGAAAAGTTATGCTGGTCATCTGGCCATACTGAAGTGGGAAGACAAAGAGGTAATAACCCTTACAGCTGATAATATTCAATCATTTCTAGCTTCCATTAAGGACAACGTGCTTTCTTTTGTTCACTTCTTCAGCATAGAGGCTACATTGCCTCTGTAGCTGGGATTTTTTCCAAATATCTTCTTAGCAGGTGAGGACAGGCAGATTATAGGAAAGGCAGTACAAATGGAAAGTATATCAATGCTTATCTGACAAATAAACAAGCCATGATTTTACCATGGAAACTGCACAGGCTATCTCTTCACTTCTGCTAGTCTCAGTCAGTGAGGCTCTCTGCAGACATAGGATCTGAATCCCTGCTTCTCTCTGCAGACCTTGGGGCTTGAAGATGGTATGTTTTATGCTCCCTAAAGAAGGTGTGCTTCACTTTGCGGTCCTTGACTCTACCGGAAACTGCGTTTCCCACAAGGAGCAGAAACACCTCTTTTGTTAAAAGAGCACTGCCCTGCTAAGAACGTGTCTAGAGACTGGCCACATATCTTCCCCTGAGAGATGTATATTTATTTTTTTCCCTAATCTTTGCTTTATAATTCTCATTATTAAAAAAGATAAAATGATCGAGGACTTCATCTAATCAAAGGCTCATCATCAAAAGCAGACATGAATTGAGGGAGGCCAAGGACCTGCAGTCTGACTCTACCCTCCTACATAAAGCTTTTGCCTAAACTTGCAAAAGCTCCCCATTGCACCAGAAAAGGGCACGGGGTAGTTTCTGGCCTCTCCCAGAACTACTTCTGTCTGTACCCGGGAGTGGTCAGGGGAAGTTTGAGAGTTTAGCAATGAGTTATTCTCCTGCCTGGGACTTCTGAGTCCAGTCAAACCTTACAGGTTTCAGTGCTCCTAAAATGCAGTTGTAGATACCATTTTGAATGGCCAATACTCCCCATCCACTTAATATCCTAGGGGTTACAATAGCTACCAAGTAATTTGGAGCCTTGTGCTCGCCTCCCTTCTCAGCCTGATGTGGCTTGATGTCTTCATGGTATCTATCATATCTTCCATATCTCACAGGAGCGCTTGACCAGCTGGGCTAAACTTACTGAAACTGCACGGCAAATAGGAACAGAAAAGGTAAGGAGTACTTAGATGTTCCTTCAGGTTCCACAGAAGAGGGCTCAAGTGGACCTCAAGTAGGCAGGATTCTTAAACCTACAGCTTGATCTAAACTCCCTTCAAAAATTACATGAGCTTACTAGGTTTGTCTAAGTTGGAGAGGAATTGCATGAGAAGCAAATCCTTTAATTCAAGACTCTGGACCCTATCATGTAGCAGAGCACTTAAATAAGTAAGACTGTTGGAACAACTGTACTTGGCCAAACCAAAAACCCACTTAGCTCTAAACACAGGTGCCAAATGTGCATTAAGTACTTGATGAGCTCACAGTTTCCTGCAGCTCATGAAGGTGAACAAAGGGAAGCACAAGAAATAAGCACTGGTGTTCAAATGAAATGCTTGCCTGCACCCCTCAGAGAAGCATACTTTGTTAGGACCAGTGGCAAAGAACCAGAACTGCTGGAGACAATTCCTCATTAATTTCTGGCATAATAGATGTTAAAAAATAAAGGCTTATTCTCAAATTTTCAAAAAAAAATGATTAATAGAATATTTTGTTGGATCTGCATCTTCAAGATTCAGATATTGTCAGCAAATGTGTCTTCTGTAGAAAAAAGATATGCCCTCTTCTGGAGTACCAGGAGCTAGTCTTTTTACTCGGCTTGTTCCATCTTTGAGAAAATTCGCTGAGATCATCCATCTCAGTTCTCATGTCTCTATTGGGGGAGGTATTTTCTGTCTAAAATATGTCAATAGCATCTTCCACTGTAAATAAAACTGTGGTCTCTGTCTCTTCTGCTGCCAACAAAAGTCAAACCAGGTTAAAAACCAAAACAATGACTATTAGTAAGCATTTTAGTGACAATTCCTGGAGTACTCCCTCAGTAAATGCTGGCTCAGGAGCTAACCAAGCTGGAGGAGGTGCATTTACATTAAAAGTCTGAAACAGATTTTGCTTCCAAGAGTTTGTCCAAGCCACTTTTGATTTATGTGAATTTTTACTATCCATAACATTTAGAGAGTTTCGCAGGTTAATTATGTATGCATGCAAAGACACTTCTTTTTTTTATTTTGAATCTGTTACTTGCTTGTTTAATTTGATGTTGCTTCTATTGAAAAAGACTGAAAAATCATTCCCTATTTCCTATCTCTATACTACACAGGATTTTATAAACCTTTATCGTTTTCTTCTAGATCAGCTGTTTTCCAGAATGAGTTTTCCATTTTCTCATATTGAACCTGTGTGATACTTTGCATTTTCTTTGTTGCTATTCCCTTGATTTATTATATAATTTCTGAGATGGATGAAGAGAACTGCACATTGTATTCAAGATGTGGAAACATCTTAAATTTATTTTATGGTGGCATAGTAATGTGTGGTTTCAGAGCCAACAGGAGCACCACAGACATGGTGTTTGTTCTCAGACAACTGCAAGAGAAGTGTAGGGAACAGAACAAAGGTCTCTATGTAACCTTTGTTGACCTCACCAAGGCTTTCGATACTGTGAGCAGGAAAGGTCTATGGCAGATTTTGGAACGTTTAGGTTGTCCCCTCAAGTTCCTTACAATGATCATCTCACTCCATGAGGATCAGCACAGCCAAGTCAGATATAGTGATGCACTTTCTGAGCCCTTTCTAATAACCAATGGTGTGAAACAAGGCTGCATTCTTGCACCAACCCTATTCACAATCTTTTTCAGCATGATGCTCCAAAGGGCCAAGGCAGACCTCGATGATCAGGACGGTATCTACATTCGATACCGTACTGACGGAAGCCTATTCAACCTAAGGCGACTGAAGGCCCACACCAAGACCTTAAACCATCTTGTCCGGGAGCTGCTTTATGCTGATGATGCCGCCCTCGTTGCCCAGACAGAAGCAGCTCTGCAGCGTTTAACATCCTGCTTTGCAGATGCTGCTGAGCTCTTTGGGCTGGAAGTCAGCTTAAAGAAGACAGAAGTTCTCTATCAACCTGCACCTTAGGAAGTCTTCCATCATCCCCATATCACCACTGGCCAATCAGAGCTCAAATCAGTCCAGCAGTTTAATTACCTAGGTAGCCTCATATCTTGGGATGGTAAGATTGACGGAGAGATAGACAACAGGTTGGCAAAGGCATAGAGAGCTCTCGTAAAACTCCATAAAAGAGTTTGGCGAAATAAACACCTGAAGAAAAGTACAAAGATCAGTGTTTACAGAGCCATAGTGCTGTCTACTCTCTTATACGGATCCAAATCATGGGTCATCTACCTCCACCACCTGCATCTCCTAGAACGCTTCCATCAACACTGTCTCCGTACAATCCTAAACGTCCACTGGTCAGATTATGTGACCAATACATCTGTTCTTGAACAAGCAGCTGTCACAAGTATTGAGGCCATGTTACTGAGAACACAGCTGCACTGGGCAGGGCACGTCTCAAGGATGAAGGACCACCACCTCCCTAAGATCTTGCTCTGTGGTGAACTTGCCACTGGCTGCCACAAGAGAGGAGCCCCGAAGAGAAGATACAAGGACTCCCTGAACAGCATCTCAGCCTTGGCCATATTGATCAACATAACTGGTCTACTCTGGCCTCCAATCAGGAGGTCTGGAGACACACTATCTTCAATGCTGCTGATGCCTTTGAGAAAGCACACAGGATCACTCTTGAGGAGAAAAGACAACGCAGAAAGAATCGTACCTTGCAGAATATACCACCTAAGGAGCCTTTCTGCTGTGCCTTTTGCAACCGGATGTGTCTATCTCGTATTGGCCTTTTTAGCCACCAGTGTGCTTGCAACAAACGTGGGTAGAGCCCTTCCCAAATCTTCATTTGCAAAGCCTGGCCATGATATTGTATTTTTTTAATATGATTGATATCTCTGCCAGAATTGCTATAGCTATTAACAGAATTGTGGATAGTTCTTTAAAATGAAAAATGTTTAGATACATTATGGTACTCTGTTTTGCCCTTAATTATTAAAGTATTTTATATACTTTCAAATAATTTATTATTGTGTGAGGAGGAGTTTGATAGCCAGACACTAAAATATGGAGGTTTCCAAATTCAGATCATAGCCCATGCTCTTTTCACTTGAAACATGAAATTACAACTCTAAGTTTGACAGGAAATACTTACCCACATAGACAGCTATAAGAACAGTTACTGTGTAAGGTACTTATGTTATTAAATCAGCTCATGAAATTCCCTGAATTTATTTATTTTGTGTCTTGTTTTCAGCTACGATGTATGTATTATAGCACAAAGATCTGACAGTTATGAGGCAAGTCTTAGTGAACTGGCAAAAAGAAGAGCCCTTTCCCATGGGTAGAATCTAAAGTAGGATATCTTGAAGATTTCTTTATTATGCCACTCATTTATGTAAGAACAGGTCAAACATGAATGACATTTATGTGGATTTTTTGCATTCTCCAAAATCATAAAGTGAGAGGATAGGCCTATAAACTACATATTGCTTTTTAATTTTCTTTCTGTTAGCAGCTGGATATTGTGGCAGTTCTGAAATTTACACAGACCTTTCACAGTTCACATGTAGCATCTGCAAAAGCAAGATCATGTACAGTCTTACTTTTGTTTCACTGTACTGGAATTCCAGAACAGTGGAAAACAAGGAAGCAAAAGAAGTACAAAACTATCATGAGAAATCTTGGATAAAAAGAGGAAATGAAAGAAAAAAAAAAAGAAAGGAAAGAAAGGAGAAAAGAAGGGAGGGAGGGAAGAAAGGAGGAAAGGGGGAAGGCAGGAAAGGATGGAGGAAGGAAGGAAGGGAGGGAGGAAGGAAGGAAAAAGAAAGGAAGGAAGGAAAAAGAGAAAGAAAGAGAGAAAGAAAGGGAAAGAAAGAGAGAAAGAAAGAATGAAAGAAAAAGAGAGAAAGAGAGAATGAAAGAAAGAGAGAAAGAAAGTGAAAAACTGCCATTCCTGCTAAGCTAGCAAATATAAAGGCTCAAAAGTCGATGTTCTTGCAATGAATTTGGATACATGGCTTGATAAAAGAAGTATGACAGTACAGAACACTGATATCTCTTCTCTGAAACTGATATAGTGGAGAAAGGAATCTGTGTAAACAACCACCCGTCAAGTACTGAATTTTTTCTCCTTTTAATCTGCTCTTTCTTACAGAGAAATGTAAAGCAGTGGCATGAGAAAACAGTATGATAAAATTTTAAGAATATTTAATGTGAAAGATTTAGTGTCAAGACACAATCTCTGATCTGTATTTCGAAAGAGATAGAACAATGTGGATCCAGCCCACAAAAGACAAAACTCTGGAAATCTTGGAGAGACAGATTCCCGTTTACATAAAGATCTGGATTACCATTTCCATTTACACAAATGTTTCATGAATAAGGTATCCTAAAAAATTACAAAGGAAGCTTTGGGAGCACAAAACTTAGGCTTTCAGACACTATTCTAAAAATATTTGGACTTTATTTCACAGGTCATTTCCTGTGACAGGGATTCACAGTCATTTCCCCACAAGAACACAAGTATCTCAAAGGATCAATAATCTAAAAAATTACTACTACCTTGCTGCTTGGGTTTATTTCTTTTCTTTAAATCCATAAAAATATTTATTCTAAAACATTGATAATTTTTTTAAGAAAATACATTTCAAAATTATCTTAAATTATATATATTCATAACCCCAATCCAGAAAAATAAGTGTATTCTTCTCTAATTTTCATGAGTAGGAGATAGTTGCTATAAAATAGCTCATGATTAAGTGCAACACACTGAGAATGGGATTTACCTCATCTAAATTTAGCCACCTAAGAGTTTGGCAGCTGTGAGGTATTCCAAAAAGGTAACTTTAGCCATTCAAGCTAATCTTTCTAGGCTCCCTCTATAGTTTTCTACAGATTCAGAGCCAAAAGGTAGAATTGCACTGCACTGACCCTTGAAAACCTTAGAAAATGCTTCTCCTTCTTCCCACATGCCTTACTAGCCCTTCTTGTCTTTAGTCATAAAGTTTCCTTTGATAACTCCTAGAGACAAAAAACATCTCACCCTAAAACAGATGGAGTAGACAAAGCTACAGAATATTGTGACCTTGTAGACTGAATTGCTTTTTTCCCTCGATTGCTAAATACAGTTTCTGGAGAAAATCCAGAGAAAGACAATTAACTTAATGAAAGATACAAAAAGTTTGAGTCAGAGGTACTGACAGTATTGAAGTAGCTTATGCCTGTGTCTCTCAGAAAGAAATCCAACTTGAATACCTGGAATATACTGAAAAAAATAATTTGTACTTACTTTTTCTGAGGTCCTGTCTTAGCTGGAATCAATAAACAAATGGACACATATCAGGTTTAAGCTTGGTCTGAAGGTTTAGTTTTGACTGAAATAGTTGACTTAGAACAATGACTGGAATGAACAATAAAAACAGTGAGGCCTCTCATTCTGATAGTGCTTATTCCAGTATTCTGATATTGATACATTGAATGTATCAAAGTGGTATGTAAACAGTCAGAAAAATGGGTCGAAATATGTCATTAATTTTTAAATGAAGGCCACTTCACATAATTTATTTTATTACATTCTTTTTTAAGACATTTATTATGATAGTATTGGCTAAGTTATTTTAACATTTTTATGGAAACTGCAACTTATGACACACTAGCTATGCAAATTCTATGGGCTCTTACTCTGTTGCTAAAACTGCTATGATGTCAATCCATGTACACTTTAATTTTTAAAGAATGCACTGGAAGACTGACAGCTATGATAACAACTTGGCGTACACTTTAACAGTTTTATATTATATGGAGCTTAGCTTGACAAAATGTAAAAGCAGATCTTTGGTACTAGTTCTTTCTTATTAAATGGATATAAACCATACAGTGTAAAAATTAGCAAAGCTTCATATATTCTCCCTTAGTTATTATGCCTGGTGCCATGATAAGGCTATTGATCATGGGTTTGTTCAGCTGATTTCCAGTATGTTCAGGGAACATAAGATCCTTTGGGGTGAATGAAAGTCTTAACAATGAGGCTTGCAGCTGTTTCTATGAGCTTGTGAATACCCAAACCAGGCAAAAATACCCAGAGTAGATCATATGGCTATCACCTATTTATTTAAAATAAGCGGCCTTTTTTCTCTAAAGGCAGCCCGAGACTCTGTTTTTCACCTTTTCACCTGCAACCAAGTGATTGCAGTAGTGACTATCCCACAGGATTCATCCTCAACAGGACTTTCTCTAGCTATTTTCTATCTTCAGAAGTAACAGTCTCTAACTGGCCTTTATGAAGTTATTCTGCCTGGAGATAAGACCTGATCGCTCTCTTTATCAATGAGCGGTGTCTGAAACCTGCAGGCATTTCATCAAGTACAATACAAGATTAATCAAGTAAAACACCTGAGAGACAAAAAGGGGGGCCAGTGCTGAGGGAGACTGAAAGCCCAGTGGGCTCCACTGTGGATTCTCCATCCTGTGAGATGTATCGGATCAACTGCACAATTACAAAGCACAAAGCCTAATTTTGAAATTGTGTAATAGTGCTGCATATGAAACTTAAGAAGCTGTTTAAGACTAGCTAAATTGATTTTAGGGCTTCAGTTAATAACTGTAACTAGGGACTACAATCAACAAGGGTAGAAAGATCCCATACCAACTATTTCAATTTCACTGTTGTGTGCTGGGAATGAAAGAGGAATAAGAAAGTTTTAATTAAACCGGTTTAATTTTCTTTGATCATCTAATACAGGGTTAATAAATAAATCTTTGATCCTTTAACTTCTGTGATTTGATTGCCATCTTTCTAAATTGGGTGATCTGGCCAAATGATGACTTAACCATGTGTTATTTTTAACACACTGAACTTTTGATCCAATATCTGTTTAAACTTTGATTTTAAAAATTATCTTAATTTCTACATGGGCTATCGACATTTTCAGTGATAAAGTCTTAGCAATGTCAATTTTGTAATGTTTGCTTATTACAAAGCAATGGAATTTGCCTTCTGCAAACATTAGCAGAACTGGTTTGCTCTTTTTGTAGCAGAATGGGCTTGAAAAATAAAAAAACAGGTAAATTAGCTGACGTACATAAGCTTGGCCCACTCTACAAATGAAAACCTTTATCAAATGCTATTCCATAATTCTGCTAATTCATAGCAGTAATTAATAATGTTATATCTTTTTAGAATTATGTCTAAGAAGTCAAAACAAATCTTTCATTGAAGCAAAATGTGAACATTTCATAAAAGGACAAATTTTCCTGAAGTCATCTCTAAAAAAACCCATTCTATAATTAATAAATGAGACTAACCAGCTACAATTCGGTATGTTTTACAGGAAGGACCTGAATCAGTGGAACTGAATGCAGTGTTTCCAATTCTTCCTGGCAAGTGAAGGAATAAAAAAGTAAAGAATGAAGTCAGGATCACACTATGGGAATACCATCGTATTTTTCTAATTAACTCCATTCAAGAAAATATTAATTGAATATTTTAGAGTTAAGATAACAATGCTGTTAAACAGCAACACAATATGATGAAGTCAACAAAGCATGACTGATAATGTAAAGAAAAATTCAAATACATTATTTTGTCCATTAGCCTTATCCTATTCCCTTTGGATTTTATTTTCTGTGCTTTATTTTTTAACCTCAGAGCTGCATTCATGTATTATTAAATCACTAACAACTGTTATTTAAAAATCTTGGCTTTCTGAGCCCAGTAAGTAATCTGGATGAGCAATCTACCTCCCTAGGGGAATTTTCCTATGCGGAAGCTGGTATGACCTCCACTCAAACAGTTTGCATGTATAATTATATTTCTGATGGGCTCTAATTGTATACAGAAGATGAAAATAATTTGTAGTGAATTTTGTCTGGAAATTTGACCCTTTACATTTTTTTTTCTTTAATTTTACCTTACCCATGTTAGTAAGCAAATAATGCATTTTTGTGCCATGGATATTCAAATTAATCAAATAACTATTAAATTATGCACTTGACATCCTTACAGATAGCATATGCCTGCATTATTTGGCAGAAGTCAAATGTACAAATATGTACAGTGTGCAATGCTCCATATCTGTGTATAGTTAAACCAACATGAGGACAGTGGTTATACTGTTCTAGGCCTGTGTAACCACACAGTTTGGAATGTTTGAATAAATTGCTGAATGAACCTCATTATGAATTATATTTATGAGGTTTACAGAGGGCAGATGCTCCCTTTCTAAATACTGGTAGCTGTCACATCCCCATTCAGACCTTTAGCAGGTTCCAGGTAGCAGGTAAATACACTAATCCTAAGTAAAAAGTATCCATCAGTTGAAAATTTTGGTGTCTAGCAATCTCTGGTAATGTGCAAAACCCCAAGCCAGCCAGCCTGTGCCTTTCTTTTTTAATTCCTCCCCTGTGATTTGACAGATCTTCAGGCAAGTGCAGAAGAGTTGATGGAGACACTGACAGCTCTATAACTTCACTCAGCCACTCTGAGGTTCATAGAGCTCACCACAGACTGGAGTAAATGTCTACTCATTGTAAAACCTTCCCAGGTTTGAGAAAAAAAAGGGTAATAAACCTGAACAAGGAATTACAAATGAGCTGGGAGAGTATCTCAGTGACTTGGGACCTTCATTCTCTGGAAGAGTTTTACATTGTCCTAAAGGACTCCTTTTATTGTGCTGTTAGCAACTGGGAAGACTTTCTCCTGGCTGGATGCTTGTTTAACTTGGAAGGTCAAAGCCATTTTGTTCTGTAGTAAATTTGTAAATTAGGCATATAGTCTTCAGCCTATATTTGCCAATGTAAATCAAAGGACCAGGTATTTCCACAGGATTTTGGCATTCTATAGTTCTCTTTCTAACCTATATGACTACTGACGGTGGCTTTCTATTGCTAGTCAGCACTGACTGTCAAATGGAAAGGAAGTACCAAGCTGACACATGGCAAATGAATTATCTTTTTATAAAAGCTCATATTAGAGATAATTGAAATGCAGAACAATGTCATCACAGTCACTTCTGAACAAAGGAAAATGGAATAATGCTTTCTGGAACAACAAAGGTATCTTTGTGCTCTTAGATAAAATTGCTGAACTAACTAAATATATTTAAACGGGAACTGCTTCTAGACTGTAGCTTAAATGCCAGTTTTCAAATGAGGATATATTTTTAGACACAGTTCATGAATTGCTAAACCCAAGATTTTCAATTGGAAATGCAAAGCTGCTGCTGCAACAGTCTGCTATCGGTAATTGTGATTAAAACAGAATAGGCAATGGCACAAGCAGAACAGCCGCATCTGTTTAGATTTCTTCCAAAACCAGTATTGTGACAACTGAAGTAATGTATGTGCATATGTATTTCATCCCATGCTGCAAAAATTAATTTATTATTTGTGATATTATTGCTTATATAATCTCCATCCTAAACCAGGACTCTACAGTCATGTGCTGATATATATGGTAAATGGGATACAGACAGAAGGAAGACTACAAAGAGATATTAAAATAATAATGATCTACATGCTTGGATTCTGCCTATCAATAGCCTCTGCGTGGTAAGTATTCTCCAGATGTCACAGAGAGGGAGAGCTTTACGGAAGCACTTGAAGAGGCCTTGTGAAGTAAAAGAGAAGCCCCTTTAGAAGTGAAATGGAGAGAGCCAACATCAGATCAGATGAAGGGTGATAGTGTTTGCTCAAACACTGCATGATGTTACAGGCAGCAAGAGGAGTTGGCACCATAATAACAAGCAGTGCCTAATGAAAATAAAATGGGGAAGCATAAGCCACAGGTGAAGGCAATGAGCTTATGCTTGCTATGATAGAGAAAGATTATACACTGAGCAGTCCCAAAATTTCTGGTAATAATCTGAATGTGTGTAAATGTTTGCCTCTGCTGAAAGTGAGGTGAGGTTTGTAGAAATACAAGAAGCAGGCAAACCCCGTCTTAGGGAGTTTTGACAAAACATACAGATAATGAGGATTTGGTAACTAAGTTGTGCAGTTTTTAGTTTAAAAATCTTGGCTGAGCGGAAGTATGTGGATGGGTGATAATTCTGATGAGTATCAGTTTTCCATTACAAGTTGGGGGATATAACTTTCCATTTATTTTAACTAGCATGAAATTCATTTTAAAGTCAATCTTCTCACATCTGTTTCACTTTAATGTTATTACACTCTGCAAGGAGACTGTGGTCTAGAGAGTTAATCAGCAGCAAAAACTGTAATGGGTAGAGGAGGAGAATCTATATGGTTATTGAATCCCCACCATTGTTCTTCTCTCTTAAGACCTTATACAAAGGCCTGGGAAGTGAAAAAAACCCTTCCACTACCTTGCTTTGAGCTTTGGGTTTGTCTCCTGTACCTTATTAATTGTACCAGCAAGCAGACCAAATAAATTAATAGGGACGAATATTGCATTGGTATCAAATAATCTATAGAATTGCTGAAGATGCCATCGAAGATGCACTCTGTAGTATGTTTAATTCAAAAAGTCATTCAAAATGAGAAGTGCAGATATGCTAGGATAATAAATAAACCAATATGCTACTGTTGATTTGATGACACCTCTGAAAGTATTGGTCTGATATAAACTACTTCCAGGTGCTACTGATGTACTGGTCTGCACTCCTTGCATTATGTGTTTTACTGTGTTATAGCTCAACCAGCCTGCTAGAGAGTTGTGAGGCAGGAATGAATAGAAGCAGAACTTTTTCCCAAAAATCTTCAGCTCACATCATGATTAACTCAGTTCTTGTTTTTCCAATTACCCTCCCAAATTTATACTTTTTCCAACCAACATCTTAAAAAGACTACAATAACATGGTTTTTAATTTCTATCTTATTTCTATTTTATTTTTTTTTTGGTCAGGGAAATTAGCATATTTTGTTAATATGCACATTGTATCTTCCATCTTCTGTCTTTCCTTTGTCACAGTACTGCTCCACTGAGAGAGACCCCAGTGAGCCTCTTTTTAACTGTGTGAGGATGCAACTTGCTTGAACCTGGGAACATCATGACTGACAGTGAAAAAGGATGGGTTACTAGACAGCCTTAGGACACATCTTCACTAAGCTAAAGGTCAAATTTAGATCAGGCTTAATGGAAAAAAAAAGATATCCCTCTATAGATATGCCTGTTTATCTATGGGTTGCCTTTGAGGATACTTCTGCCTGTAACCTCTTGAGAATGATACTAGACCTACAGAAATCCTTAGGGCACTAGCATAGTCAGAATAACCATCAGGAGATATGATTCTGTGAAAATACTGCTGCAGAAGCCTATTCTGAGAAAGTGTAAAGGGATGTCTGACGAACGCAAACTATTTCTGTCTTCCCTCTCCTTGTTAGCTATTCACTAGGTTGCTAGCATGTGGAAGTGATTCCAGCAGCAAGCTGAAAACCTACAGACAGCTTTAAAACTATTAGAAATATGCAGAGGCTTTGAAATCTAAGAAGGATGGTTATGAGTATTGACTTCAATGTCCTGTATCACCCACAAAAAAGATCCCCCATTACTTCAGCTGCCACTATACTTCCCCTCAGTTACCAATGTGACCGAGTCCTGCCTAACACAGTGGAGGTAAGTAAGAATACATGAACAGAAGACACAGGATAGGACCACATGGGGTGCAAAACAGAAGATGGAAGACTGCATTAAAAACATGTCCTCGATATTGTTTGGTCCTAGTTTTTCCTGCCAGCTTCAAGGGCACAAAGATAATGTACACTTAATGCACTCTGGACGGCAACAAGGCATACTTGGCAATCCCAACGCTGCATTCACCATGGGTTTTGGCAATATATGTAACATTGTTTTCCTAATAGTAATTATGGCTCTGAGAGGTATAAAATGCCTGATATTCCAGTGGAATATCAAGTTTAAGACTAAAGAGAAACCTTAAAAATTCCATTATTATTAGTTATTGCAATGTTAATAATTTTAGCAGAAATATCCAGCTATTTGGGGGTTGTAAATGAAATTTTAAAACAGTATCACTAGGTGTTGTTAGATCAGACTTCATACCTACAGTTTACTAAGAATAAAAAAAAAATTGCCTTGAGATTGAATACTATTCTGAATTCTGGTGAAGTAAATGGTTCTTTTAAGGTGTGTGTTTCCCCTCAGACCTGTATTCATTTTACAAGTTATGCTGCTATAGCTGAAAAATGAGTCTTGTACTCTCCTGAGTATATTTGCAATGGCATTAAATGATTTGTGGTCATCTTCAGTTAACGTTGACAATAATTCTATAATATCTTTGAAGTAAGGCCAACACCACCCTTTTTAATTTTTTTGGTTTTTAAATGCAATTTCTGTTATTGCATGTTTTCCTACTTTGCTGATACTTCTGGAGGAAGGCTGCTTCAATATTCTGTTTGGAAGTATCCCAGTTTTATGTCACGTTTTCTCCCGTAACATATTGCTGTTATTTCCTCAGATTTCTCGGAGGTTTTAATACGTGCATTTCACTGCCACTCACCCTCTACTGATTTGAATGGTAAGAATAGGCACCATGTCCCTCACCAGTTCATCTTCCTCTGGAATCTCTTTCCTCTCTCTTGGGTCAATCATGCTAAAGTTAGATAAAATCTATTTTATCTAACATGTCAATGTCACTCTATTAACTTTCCTCTGTGGTACACTGTTTCCATTATAGGAATTTAGAAGCTTGGGAAGGGAACGAATATTCAACTTTAGCCAGGCAAATTTGAGTTTTCTTCCAAAGCTTCTCAGGATCTCTGGTCATGCACTTCTTTTCTCCTCACATCAGAATGTCATATATTCATATCATAGTCTGCTGCATGGCCATCTATATTTCACTGGTTTTCCAGTAAAGCTGCTGATGAGAATGCCAGTTGGAGGAAACTGTTTCCTTCAATGTAATATGCTCACAAAAATGGTGTGGCGTTGGTTTTTTTTCCTTAACAGTACCTGCTTGCAACCTGCCAACACATTGTGTGTATAAAAATATTTGCCATCTAACACATCTCCAGAAGTACCTTA